TATTGCTGGAACATAGACACTCACTGAGTTAATAGTGTACCCACAGGATTAACAGAGCTGTGTTCTGCTCCACTGGGTTGCCTTTAAGCCCTTTGAAAGACAACAGGAAGACTTTAGGTGGTCTTGAAATATTTGATTACATTGTATCTGGTTTGTATACTGAAACTTGCCCTCCGATGTGTCAGTCAAAACGTTTATCCCACTGATATCAAGACACAGAGTCTACAGGCCTGAGGCTTGATGCTGGGAATGTAGTGTAGAGGCAGCTGGGAGGTAGACTCTGCATGCCCTGACTCTGGACCTGGATTTATGGCTTGGATGCTGTACTGCACAAAAGCAGCTATTCAGCTTTGCAACCAAGCTGCTAAGCCTGTGAAATGGCTTTATAGCATCGCATGAACTGCATGGAACAGTAACTGTTGGCACATCTGTATGCCCAGTGTAATCCCTGTCCTACAAGCCTCCTGTCCATATGGTTGTTTTGTGAGTAGTCTGTCTCTGCCAGCATGTCTTGTCTGGTGTGTGACACACCAGCTCTGCTTGAGCTTGCCCATACTCTGGATGCCACCCGAGTCAGATCACTTCCAGCTTAGGGATCTCTGTGTAGTGCTCTAAACATGTCCAGAGATGCCTATTGCAAAGTACAAATTTGCATTAGCAGGCGATTTCAATGTCTGTCTTCTAAATGTACAGCTGCTTGGATTTCTTGTTAACTGCATTACTGAAACACCATGGTCACCATTAGAGTAGGGTAAAGACCGGTGTAAAGATTTGTTATGATAGCTTCCATGAGAGGTGCAGATGGCATGTTAGATGTGTTTGCTAGGAACAAATGACGTACAAAGTCAAAGCTCTCTAGAAATACAAGAAGCCTGATGATATGATGAAAGGAGAATTAAAATGGCCATCCTAAAGTGTAATAAACATGATTTCCACACATGCACACATGGTTATTATAGGGCATTGTAGCTGCAAATTGCTATGTTAATATCTAAGTTTTATCAGGTTTTGCATCATCTAATAATTCAGTAATATTTTTGTTTCAGATATTGATGAATGCCTCCAAGACAGTGATATTTGCCTTCGAGGAAACTGCATTAATACTGATGGGTCTTACAAATGTACTTGTCCAGATGGTTTCCAGCAGATAGCGAATAGGGGATGTCAAGGTATGAAGTAGCTATGAAAAAAATATGTGGATCATTGTAATAAATGTGCAAACTTGTAAGCATAACTTGTGATAGTCACAGATCATGCTAAGATAGAGAAAATAATTTGTCAATTGTAGTGCCTTTTTTCCCCCATTTTCTATTGCTCTCTGTAAATATATGCTGAGAAACTTTTACAAGAGGCTCAAGTCTCGGGAGCAGGAAACTGGACTTTTTCTTGGCTGCTCTCTAATACACAGTTTAGACTTGAGCTGAGAGCCTGAGTTCCAGCTGTTCTATATTGAAGACCTTGTGCAACCAACAGTAAATTTGCTGTAAAAGTTCTGTGTATTCTGCGTGACTGCTTTCTAATTCAGTAAATGTTGCATTCAACATATGGAAGTGACCTCTAAGACCTTGCTTTAGCAGATAAAAGAGAATTGATCACAAGCTATAAATCAAAGCCAGCTTTCATACCACTCTATTCTCTTCACTGTATAAAGTAGTAGTATATAGGCTTCATTTTTAAGTGGATAAATAAAACAGAAAGTACTTATGAGCCAACCAAGGGGCAGACCGTATTGACAGTATTTTTAACAGAAAAATGTGAATGAATATTAGAAATCCACTTCAGGTAAGAGCAGCACACTTGAGAAAGAAAACCACCAACCCTGAGAAATAAGAACTTGCTGTAGAGGGGAATGATTCTGCTGGAGAAATAGCCAGATCAACATCAAAACAAATGGAAGAAAGGAGGAGTTGATACAATGAGTACTGACAAGTTAGAATAGCAAAGAGCTGGATGCAGTGAAAGAACAGTAAAGGGGGATCTGCAGAATTGAGCATGGTTAGACTTTTTTACTGTGCTGAGAACTTGTTAAGCTCTTACAGGATGCAATAGTGGTATTTTTATTTGTCAAGGATGGGTATCTTCAGTATATTTTCTTGTCCTGTATTTTGCACTGGACAAGGCTAGCCATATTTGTATCATAAATGATGACTTTACGTTTCAACAGTACCTTCCAAATATTTCAAGTGGCAGCTAAACCGAGACATTTTTAAATGACTGAAAGCTGGTTCTGTCAGGGTTCTGTAATAGCAAGAAAAAAAAAACCCATAACATTTTTTGAAAGTTTACCTGGAGAGATGAGATGCATGGCAAAAGATCCAGATAATAGGCCACTAGTGCTGAGTGAGCAAACAATATGCATTTCAATATATCCAGTTCTACACTGAAAAAGGAACCTCAGTCATGCTTGCAGGATAGTGATCTTCCTTCTGGGGCATGGTTACCAAGAAGGATTTGCGGGTCAGCAACAGTCAGCTGAATATGAGCATCTAGTGCAACTCTATGGCCAGTAGGACTAACACACTCCCCAGAAGACTGAAAAATCAGAATATGCAGCAGGAGTAAGCAAGGTTTGTTCACCTTTAGTTTGCACTGATGTAGCTGTTCTTGGCACATTGTTGTACACTGACATTCTGGTGCCCGCAATTCAAAATAGATGCTGAGCAGTCAGAGATGAACCCAAGAAAACTGATGGTCAGGGGAGGGGAATGGATTGAATGCTTTTAAACCGGGGTTTTTTGTTGTATGTAAAAAAGAGAGGTGACGTGATCATAGCCTTATTATGTTCAAAGGAAACAATACCTGAAAGTAGAAAGCTATTGAATTAAACTGGCAAAGTTATCACAGAATGCAGTGTCTTCAAGTTGAATCTGGACTAGACTAGGAATTAGGAACATGCGTTTTGGTAAGAAGCAAAGCCGAAAAGAGTCCAAAACATTAGAAAGGGAGCAGCTTGCTGTTTCAGATAAAATATACTCTGTTTCCCTACCATTGTTAATTTTCTTCTCTTGTCTTTTAATACATCAGTCTACCATGTGTAATCAGCTGTTTTGGCAGTTGTAAGAACCTGACAGCTTAGTCTTGAGAACAGGGTGCGTCCTAGAAGGCACTGTACTCTCCTTGTCATTGCTGATCTCCCACCTTACCTGACTTGGAGAGATTTTCAGGAAGTGTGTCACTGCTCTGCATTTACTATGAATTCAGAGAAAACTTTATACATGTAGGTGGTGTGTGAAGCACAGCGCACTGACTTTTCCCTGTGCACCTCACATAGTACCCTTCCCCAAGCTGCCTCTGTTCTTTCCACATGTGTGCCATGACTTCAGGACACTGGCCTGGAAATCTTACATGCAGGACAAAATCAGTATGTATCTAAACAAAACTCTGTAATGGGTCTTGAAATGATGGTACTGAAATCATAATTTCTCCAGTCTGTGACAATACTATCTACTGTGATGTGTTTTTATGGATGTAACAACGACCAGAATCCAAGCAACAAAAGACGCAGTTAAGAATAAGAATTCTAGTATCTATGATGATGGATGGATGAGCCACATGTGTAGGTTTCATTTGTAACTTTGTGCTTGTGGTGTTGAAAACTTCGTAATAGGTTTTTTTAAAGCAAAATACGAAAGTGCAATTACAATGTGAATGGTAATTAATGCGAAAGCAGTACCTCCTTAATGACTAAATGCAACCCTTAAGCACTGATAGCAGATTTTGTTGTTAAGAGATCGATCAGAAAGCAGTGCTTGGGTTTTAGATTCATGAGTTTGAAAAGCAATGTTTGAAAAGTGCTTTCTAAGTTAAAAAAAAAAAAAAATAAAAAGAGGTTCTTGTATAGCAAACTTTTGGGACCATTCCCACTCCCCATCAGCAAAAACAGCATTTGGCTTGAAATTATACAAAATCAGCCTACTGGGAAAGACACAAGTCCAGACCTGCTGGTAACACATGGAGCCAGATGCACAAGCTGACCAGCTTGCAACAGTCAGAAAGCAATGAGGTGAACCATCTGAGAATTGCCCTAACACAGCAGAAACGTTGGCTAGTACAGAGCTTGTACTGATACCTCACAAACCATCCTCATCTGCTCATCACCATGCAGTGATACAGTGAGAGTATGCTGCAGCAGACCATACTGATGCCTATACAGAGTTTAAGAATGATCCCAGAAGATTTGTTTACTCTGGAAAATGATCCCCATTTACATAGCTGTTTGCATAGCTGCAGCAGGTGGAATTAAAAGCTGCTTTTAAGACTAATTGAACTTAGGCTGAATATTAAGGATATGATGATTTGCAAAGCCATTTTTGTCTCTGTTTTCAGATATCAATGAATGTGAGAGATCTGACCTCTGTTCACCTCATGGGGAGTGTCTAAACACAGATGGTTCCTACCAGTGCATATGTGAGAGAGGCTTTTCTGTGTCTGCAGATGGCCGAAGATGTGAAGGTGAGGCAAGTTACAATAATGGATTCCCATTAATTTGCTGTTATTACTGGGGTGAGAAAAGCGTTCAGTTTGGGTCTGATACCCCAAACCCCCTATTAACTCTGCAGTCTGTCACTTAAGGCCCTTTTGTACTTTTTCTTGTAAATGCCTGGTGTGTTATGCTGCTGTTTGAATTCTAAGTATAACAGTAAATGTACGAAATGGGCAATGTAATGGAGTTAATGTTTGTTACAAGCTGTGTTTTACTTCTCTTGATTTCTAATAATTTTGCTATCTTAACAGTGGATTACATTTTTTTCAGCAAAGAAATTAGTGAAAAAGAATGAATACTGATCTAACGGAGGCAAAGGAGGGAATGACGTTCTGATGTTAAAATATATGAAAGCAGTAGACATCTAATAATATGAAAATCTATTCATAGATGGGAAATTATTTCTGTCTTATATTTATTCCTTCCATCCTTGCTATATATAAAATGCATGTAAAGTGAGTTTGGAACTCAGGCTGCTGACGACTTTCAGTGAGTAAGACCTTCTTGAAATGGCAGAAATGGAGTAGATAAAAATAGTAATTAGACCTTTACAGGGCTAAAGCCAGCTAATGGAATGCACATGCTTGCAAGTGGTACTGCTCTTCTACACTGAATTTAAAATAGGAGACTTGTGCTCAGTGATACCAAGAAGATAAGTGGTTTTCTGTAGTCAGTGATGCTAGCAGAATACAAAAATTCCCCTAATTTACTTTCTAATTCCCCTAATTTACATTCTGGATGATGAATGGCTGTTCTTACGGATGAGAGGGCTGCTCAAGACAAGAAGCCTGGTGGGAAAAGTTCAGAAGGGGAAAAAAATTATGCTAGTACGGCAGGACGCATGCAGAGGAGAAGTAGTGAGCAGATGATAGCTCAGTGTTACAACCTACAGATAGTGGATCCCAAGCATCCAAGAAATAAGCAAGCTGTTCTCTATCCCAAATTATAGGCCAACAGATCCATATGTGGTTGGTTTTCATGGGCCAGCTCTTCTTATAGTTCACTTAGGGATAGTGAAAAGGTTCTTCCTTCAGCAATGGCGGTGTAAACTTCTGACTGTTGCATCTACTCCCCCTACTTTTACAATAGGATAATAAGCATTATGGCATTATTATTTGAGCTGGCATATAACCTGTTACATAGTTAGTAACATAATAGCTAATGAAATGAAGTATACTAGTGGCAGGAGTACTGTTATGCTGATGTAAGGGAATAAGTGCTGTATATTTAGATATAGCATGACATCAAACACACTATTTGTGGTTTAGTTATTATTGATAACCAGAAAGAATCCTGCAGTATTTTTAGTGCTTTTTCTTCTCTAAATATTTACTTTATTTTGTAATCATGGCGTAAGTTGAAAGAGACACTCTCTTACTGCCAAGACAAAAGCTTGGTCAAGTAGGCTAAAGAGAGTAAATCTGAATAACTCCAGTGATTGATGGACAAGGCAGTATTTTGTGATTTCAAGGAATGAGGATAATTCCAAAGCATTTTAAAGGACTCTTGGCAGCATGTATATACTTCACCCAGTGTTTAGGAAGGATATGGTCAAATATCCTCAGTTTCTCCACAAGAAAAGTAGCAGCAGGTGTTTTGCCTCACTGCTGAGCATAGCTAAAAAAAAAGTGGTCAGAGAAGAATGCAGCCTGCTCTTAGTAGAAACCAAACACTTTATTCCAAACCGATGTTGTAAGAACACTTATTAACTCCATGAAATCAAACTTTCAGAAATTAAAAAAGGCAGAACTGAATAGAAACACAACTTAAAAAAAAAGTCAGTGGCATCTAATTTTAAGGGACGTACCAGAAAAAATGAGCCCCTCTGCCTGGGTAAAGTAGCACAGTTCCAAGGAAAGGGTTACCATCACATATGATGGAGTACAAAGTTAATCTCCATATCTCCATTAGGACAAAAAACCCAAACTTTTACTAAATAGAAAAAGATGAAATCACAAGATCTTATTTCCAGAACTGTGAATAGTTTTGGAACTTTTTAATGAAAAATAAAACAACAAGTACAAAACCAGTTGAGCATGCTTCACAAGTAATCAGTGGTGTGTATGGAATAGAGATCAGACTTTATATTCAGTACTTGGAAAAGTATTTTAATAACTTGGCGAAGCAAGGGTACTTCCAGTCTTCTGAAGCAGCAGCACTCCTTTCCTACCACAGTTAGTTTCTCCATTCTGTCATTTAAATAAAAACAATTCTAGAGCTGAAAAAAATCATTTTGAGGGAACACCAGTGGCATCAGTGTTAGTATTTGTAGTGGTGTCTGCTTTGTGTGAAAGGCAAGATGAAACAAAAGGATCAGAAGCAAAAGGAGCGTATGACATTCCAGGTACTGAGAAAGGATGTGGCTTCCAGCCGCAGGAGCTACTATTCTTTACATTGGGTGCCTCTGTGAATTTACTTCTAGTTAAGTGAGTGAGATTAACTGTTTATACCATCAGAGAAAGAACCCCAGGAAATTTTGCTAGATTCACACGCCTCTCTGTACCTGGGGAGCAAATTTTCCATATTTCCAGACTTGTATGAGTTTGACTCATTTTTTGAAAAGTCAGAAACAACAGCAGTATAGAACATTTCAGAACCCCTCTGGTATGGAAGAGTTTTGTGTCCATTGGCCAAAGTAAACAGAAGACAAGTGGAGACTTGTCTTCTTCCAAGGTGTAGACAAACATTTGTTGTGGCGGTGACATTCCACTGCCACCTGACCCCAGGCTCAGCAATTTGGCTGCACCAGGCTCTCTGAACAGGAGGTTCTTGGAGCACTCCCTTGCTCCCTGTTGAGCTCTCTGGGGTTCCTGTAAAGGCAGCATTTTACCCAGTTGGCTGCTAGTCAACTGCGTTGGCAAAAACTCAAGTTCTCTGGTGCTTAAGTCAGTACCCTGCCCCAAGCACCTCTTCTGTCTGCATGTCCAATCCCATATGTGTCTCAGTGGCTCTTTCACTTTTCCCTTTCTGCTCCAAGCCCCAGGCTTCACTGCCTGCCTCAACAGGTATGCCAAAAAACCTTACACATCCCACCAGAGCTCTCCAACATCTGCTTCTTCCTTTCCCCTCACTTACTGTTTTGTATCCTGCCATCCTATATTTGTCCGCTGAATAACTCACACGTCTGAGCCTTTTGGATGCTTGCATGGAGCATTTACAGATCATTCTGTGATCAAAGAGTAATTTACAAATCTGTTCACAAAGATGCAACATTGTCCATTGCTTAAGATGCCTGGATACCTAAGTAGTCTGAAAACTGGGGACACAAAGAGCAGAGCTGTGAACAGTGCGTAACTGTTAACTCTGCCACCACAGGCATTTCAAGATAATAGACGTTTGCTGTAATTGCATGTCACAACCATAATTTGGCTGTATATAGGGAAGATAAGGCAGCTGTAGGAAAAGGGTATGGTAAATCTAGGACTCCTTTTGGGGCCGAGTATTATCTGTCACATGGAGTAGATTTTATGCAGTAGACACCTTCACAGCTTCATCAAATCTCTGGTTAAATGCATAAGTAAGAAAGCTCAGGATCCTGCCAAACCTAGATTCAAATACTCATCTCCAGTGGCCCCTGGCTACCTTCTTATTTCCCAGTCAATCACAGACTTCACCTGCCTTCTTACAGTTGGCGATAGAGATGTTTTAGGGCATCAAATATGACTTATCTGGATGCTGGCTAGGGAAGTAAGAACACAAAGGGAAAAACAAGAATCTCTTTTCTTACCCACATCACAGTTATGTTGGAATGACCATCCAGCATTATTGCCTCTAGATGGCCAAAGTCTTTATTCAAATACATATTTCTCTAATTTTCTCATTATGTGATTTTTATGTATGGATGTTATGGGCAGCCCTGGAAGTCTCAGAATCAGACCTCTGTTCCCCTAAGCACTTTACAGAACTGTCCTAGAAAACAATTCCTCTTCCAGACACTTTGCCATAGAAGTAGATTTCAATGAGATTTAAATCACACCTGAGGTTCATCTTGTTCAGGCTGGCAGAAAACAGGAACACAGTGTTGAGCTTGAGCACACACGTGTTTTGCCTTTCTTTAGAACCTGATGTTGTTAGATCAAAGGAGTTTTGATTAAAGCAGACAGCACTGAGTCACGGATTCTAAACCAGGTTCTAATTACAGAGAACTGCTTTAGTCACTGTATAGACGCAGGACATATTAGTTTCATATTTAGTTTTTCTCCATATAGCAAGAGAATTGCTGATTACAAGCCTCTTGCTTTACAGGGTGATTAAAGAAACAAATGCCCTTTCCGGCTGTAAAACAGGAGTCCTTTGCGCGAGCTGTCTAGACAAGGGAAAATATTTGCTGCTTGAACCTTCTCTGCAATTTCTCATACACTGAAAGATCCAGTCATGCTCATTCAGACTGTGTACTTTTTCAAAACAAAACTATCTTCTGTGGTTATATTATATACTAAATTAGGACACTTGCTGCAATCACAAGTTTTGTTTCTCCAGCTTTTTAGTCGATGACCTTACTTTACCTTTGCAGAACCAGCTGCATGATACATTCCCCTATCTGTTTCCTTTAACATTTAGCTACTAAGGAAGAGAAATACTGTAATTTAGGTAATTCTGAAATCCCTAGTTGTAGTTCCTTATGTCTAGGCTTTTAACAGAGTAACTGGCTCATGGCTCAGGAACCTTTGTTATTGAACTATAGTTGGGCACTGAAAATACAAACACTGTATTATTGCCTGTTGTCTTAAATTCCTGTCTGTCAATCCACCACCGTTTACTCATTTTGAATTACTTAACTTTTCTTAACTCCTATTCAGGGAACAAGAGATAGAGTATTCTTATTTTTTGACCAGATGTGCGAAACTCTGAGGATCACAAGATTAAACATTAAAATAAGATACATTACACAGGTATAGTGCATAGCAGCAAGATGTTGTGGGTAGTCTCTTCTGGCCTACCTGTACTGGATTCTGAGTTGTTCGGACCCCAACCACAACACATAGGAAAAGCTGGTTGTCAAGACTCCTAAAAAGCTTCTCCCTGAGGCAGGCAGAGAATACATGGAATAATTTGAGCACTGGGGGAGCAAGAGGGCAGCACAACAGGTAACCTGTGTGGATGGTAGTGACATGCTGCTCATATTTGGTTAGCATGGGGACCTGTTGACCACATGGTTTAAAGAGCAAGAATTCCCTTTCAGCTGAGCATAAGACACAATTTAAAAGTAAAAATGCCCGGGCTTGGTGAGCACTGTCAGGAGAAGAACGAGGTGCGTCATTGCTGACTTTTCTTGGCCTTTGAGACAGCTGTGAAAGGCTGGAGGAGCAGACAGGACTATGTTTGAGCCCTACTCTCAGCTTTCAGAACGACACCAAGCAGCAGCGCTGCTCCCCTGTTCAAAGAAGCTGTCTCTGGCACTGCAGGACTCAGTCCCACCAGCTCTTCAGTTCAGTGAGTACCTAAGGCCTTTGCTGGAGGAAGAATAATGGTAGGCTCCATCACACGAAAGTCTGCTCTAATGTGCAGAATCAATGGTAGTAGCTAGTACCCAGATAAATCAAAAGCTAATCACTTTATTCACCATTTAAAATGAAGATTACCCCTGAGTCACAGTACAGAAGGCAATTCCAGACAGCAACCTTACTTAACAGTCGTAATAGTTTCTAGGGAAGAAATATAGCAGTAATTTCTCTGCTTCAAACTGCAGAGGAATTTAGAAGGCAGAAGGTACTAATTCTGCTATCCTGGCAGGTCCCCAGTTTCAGTTAATTTTCTTCTTCCTGAAAAATACAGCGTGACATCTTTAATGACTACAGATGGTCATGGCCTTGGGTTTAGGTCTTACCTGGAGTAAAGATAAAAATAATACATTTCTAGCACTTATAATACACTTAGAGGTGTATTATAACTTACAGGATCTGCCTTACAGGCAGAACTTACAGATTCTGCCACAAGCAGCTCTGCTTCATTATAGGGTGATGGGCAGTTGAGTCAAAGAACAGACTTACTCAAGCAAATGACTCTTATTTGTAAGGCCAGCAAACCACAAATGGGAACTACAAATGAAAGGACCGGTAGAGAAAGCATGTGGGCACTTAATTGCTTTGCCTGTCCGAGTAAGACTATTCATCTGTGTAAATTTACAAGATTAAAGCCAAAAGGCACAGTGCACAGAGAATCACCACCCAAACACGCACCCTGAAATTCTCTTCTGTGCTGAGAGCCAGAATGAGATGTGTGCACGATGAAATCTTCTGCACAGCAGATGCAACCATACCCTTGATTTCTTCTGGCAGGCACAGGGGTCCAGTTTCACACATGTTGTTGACTGTATAATGCTACACTGGCAGAATCTGTAAGGCAGTCAGAGAGATGGTCGTATTTAACCTATGTCTTATTCTGGTATGTAACATCGTGGCATAATTGGCAGGTTTGGTGAAACAGATGGGAGACAGTTGACCAAGACCATTGCCTGAAGCAAGATATTTCCTACAGAGTTAACATTGAAACAATTTCTTAAATTGTATGTGTGCTCACATTAAATTTTTGTCTCATCCTTTGTGGTTTCCTTCACAGTGTACACAGAGCTATCACTGCATCTGTTTGCAAAAATGGCCCATCTGTTGTTTTTCTGCCCTCTTCATGAGTGTCTGCCCCTGACTGTCACACAGCTTGTCTGATGTTATAATTCTTCCTTGCAGATGTTGATGAATGTGCAAACGGCACAATATGTGGCAGTCATGGGTTCTGTGAAAATATGGATGGCTCCTACCGCTGCCTCTGTTACCAAGGGTATCAGGACCCACAGGATGGGCAAGGGTGTACAGGTGAGTTATTAGGTGCAAGCAGTCATTCCTGCAAGGTACTAGTGAGCCAAGTGGCATATGAGCAAAATGCATTTCTTCACAAGAACATTTTTGGTTTACATCATTTTTTATTGAAATTGTACCACTTTACTAGTAAAGTAAGGTTGAGTGGTTGAGCTCTGCTTTACTCACTGAACTTTGTACTGGATGGAAACTTAAGTACATATCCGTTCAATGAGACTTTGTTATTACGATTGAATGGAAACCAACAGCAAATAAGGCCAGCCACACATTTTATCTCTTAAAAAAAAAAAAACACCACAAGTAACTCCACTATTTCTGCACCTCAGGACCATTCACAAATATAAACCATACTAGACTGAATTGAATACATTAGCTTATTTAAATGCAACATCTGTTTAGTCCCTTAGCTGAATAACCAGAACTCTGTACTACCCCCTGCAGGAAATAGTGTCTGGCATGTGGTACAGCCAGTGGGAGTCAGCTGGCACACCTCCCTAGGTACATCGTATTTGAACACATCTTAAGATTGGATTTGAGCTCCAAGAAAGATACCTATCACCATGAAAAATGTGAGATTTCTGTAGAGGTGTAAATACTGCACATTTCTCTTGAGTAATGGATTTCCAGATCTGTTGTTAACAGCGATGGTTGGACCTGAGACCCATCTGAGGCAGCACAAGTTTCTAATAAAAAATTAATACCAGATCAAGGAAAGGTATTCATTAAACAATTTCTCCAAACCAGACTCAAGATGAAACACATTTGCCAGGAACAGAGACCTAAACAGAATACTGAGCAGAGGGGAGTTTGAAGTTTTACAGAAGTGTTTGTATGTGTTTTCTAATATATTAAATAGTTTTATTACAAAATTCTTTATGCCATTTGGCACTTAATTTGCAACATACCAATGCGTATCTTTGCATACATTGACTTTCAATGGGTGAAAACAGATAAAGAAACAAAACAGAATCAAAATCTTGTGTAAAACTAAATTCAGTTTTGAGTTGCAGAACTGATTCTGCACCATAAAATAATGTTGCAGAACTGATTCTGCACCATAAAATAATGTGGGGGTTTTATCATATGCGCAATATAATATAAAATAGTCCTAATTTTTTATGCCAGTTATCTAGCAAAATAATTTTAAGAGAAGGTAAGTCTCTTTATTTCCAGGCAACATTCCCCAAATTCCTTATAACAGGAATCCAGCAAAAAAATAAACAAAAATCTAACTACATTTTAGAAGTGCTGAGCAAACCACATGTTAAAATGCATATTTAAGTAAAAATACACAAAATCACCATTCAGTCATATGACTAGACTTTCATTCTTGCTGGATAAGAGGTTAAAAGGATAAAACATTGCCTCACAAGTTACACTTCAGACACCACTCGTTTATAGAAATTTTTGAATTCTAATACACAGATTAGGATTTTTAGGGTCTGTCATTAAATAGAAAAGTAGATTTTCAGACGTAAATTTTAGCAACTGAAAAGAGAGTAAAGTTGCGTGAACCTGACAGTATTTGGTAACCCTTGTTTAAACAGCAGACAGCTCTCTCATCAATCAAAAAAGCATTTCATGTTAGACTAGTTAGCAGGCATACAGAATCCAAGTTAAAAATACGCAGGGTTTTGGGGGAGAGGAAATGTGCTGTGTTCAAAACCTGGGAAACCTGGTGGGTTCCAGAGCAGCTTGTGAGGTTGTGCATACCAGAGGCAGGGGGTGGGGATGGTGGGGAGCTGAGGAATTCACTGTGCAGTGAATGTTCATGAGCAAAATGGAATTTTGAGGAGAAAAGGGAATTCTCATTTCATACTGAAGTCTGAATTGCAACAAAACCTACTCATTTTGCTCTTTGAGTTCAGTGGAAGTTTGATAATAAAATAAGTTAAGAAAACAAAGGAAATTAGTCTAAATCTTAAATTCCAAGAAAAGGGTACTAAGAAAAGCAAGTATTTAAAACTTAGAAAGAAACCTTTAAAAAAAACTGAAAAAAAATTAAAGTGTTCTGGTCTACAAGCAGCACCTAATCAGCACCAATAGTGTATAAACTATACTGTGGCTTTCAGGGGCCTTATTTCAGAGGACTGATAACTTGTTTATGAATCCACTTAGGTATTAGTGAGTTTTTAATCCTTTTCCAGAGATCGTATCTGTAATCTGGCAGACAATATTGGCACAGATACAGCAGATAAAAGAACAAACTGTCAGTAATGGGTCTGAATTGATTTATGGTTTGGATTTTTCCCCCAGATGTGAATGAATGTGAAATGCTGAGTGGAGTATGTGGCGAAGCCCTCTGTGAAAATGTGGATGGTTCTTTCCTGTGCCTGTGCTCTGATGAAAACCAGGAATATGATCCAATGACCGGACAGTGTCGCTTCCGTACCTCACCAGGTAAAATGCCAGTGGATTTTTGCATGCTTGGCACGATTTCCACTGCATATGTAACAATGGGAAGTTAAAGTTGGTTTAAATGCTGGTGTTGCTTTAACTGAAACAGAAAAATTTGTCTTCTTGAAAGTGTGTGCATGAGAAGAGGGGTTTCTAGCATGGAATATGCTATCAGTGAATCATTAGCAGTGAAAATACAGCAGAAACGCCTTTTAAATCTGATATGTCAAGAGACTTGGCAGTAATAATGAACAGTTACAGCAGTTAAGAATAAACAATCTCTTATTTGCTGTACTATAACAATGAAACATGATACAGAATCAAGTCTGTGGCCTTAGTGATCTTATTTTTGGTTCAGATTTTCACAAATATCCACTAGTACACTTGGACAATGTTTAATGGAGCCTACGATTAACAGCAAAATTTGCATATCCCAGTCATCTCTTAGCTTTATCTAGTACTAACATAAATCCTCAGAAAAGGTAGTTGGGAAAGCAAAAATAAAGAACACTGAATTGTTGTCAGTCTCTCTGAGGGCCTTTTTGAGTGCCCTTGCCTAGTTTGCTCCATTTTTTGTCCTGTTTTTCCTAGTAGTCCATTGTACTGCATTTGTGAGCTTTTGTCATCAGGTATTTTGGGTATTGCAAATACTACTGGAAATATGCATATTAAAAATGAGTTTAGAACTCCTAAAGTTGTCTCCACATTTCTATGCTGATCCAGTTTGGAGAAAGGAACAAGCCCACAGTAAGGAGCAACAGTGTACAAGAAATGAAGGGATTTACTTGCACAACTTTTTTCCCCTCCAGAATGCAAATCTTGGTATTTTTCTTATTTTGTATTTACACTGCAGGCTGATCTAGCTTCTGGAAAGCTTTAAAATAACTGGCTTTAGTGCCAGGATGCAGATTCTACAGCTTATGAGGCTGTGTCTATTTTCTCCTATCACTCATGGTCTTTCAGACGTCGAAACAAGGTTGAAATATCTGTGACCTGACTGCAACAAGTATTTAGATCACTGAATGTAGCACTCAGCAGCTCTCAAGAAGTTGCCTGTGAAATATCATTAACAGCTGATTGACAAACTGAAACCTTTGTGAAATCTTGTGAGAAAGATTAAGGCTTCCAGGAGCTTGTTTTATGAAGGAGGAATGAAAAAAGTTAAGATGGGTGAGGCAGCAGAGCAATGCCCAGTGATACTGCCTGCATTCGGGTTTGCATGCTAAAATTCTGCAGTACCTTTCCACCATGAAGCAGATTAGCTTAAATATCCACTGATGACAACTGAAGTAGCAGCATTTAAAATTCTTCCATGAATTTATGGAAGAAGAGTATATAAATTATCAAGACTTGCAGGAGATGAGAATGCCATCTTCGTGTTGGTGCTGTGAGTAGCTAGTACTTGGGAGAATTTAGCTACTTGTTGAAACAAAACCAAGCTAAAGAAATTACCAGAGGACCTGAGCCCACGTAAAAAGAAGTCAAGTCTGAGGAGGATTCAAGGACATACCCAAACATTACTGTGGGGAAGAAGGGGATGAAAAACCCAGTCTGACTGAGATTGTACTGTCAACAGATGAATACTGTCAGTACTAAGTCCATTTTGTCATCAGCGGTAAACAGCTTTACTGTTACCAGTTTGGAAAGAAGCCATTCTTCTTTCCCCTCCAGCCTTCATTGGGCTCTAATAGATCATGTGTTTCATCTTTGTCTCTTCTCTAGTAAGATCACTGAGGAAGAATATAAATCATAGGAGACCAGAAGACATGCAAATTGGGACCCAGTGAGATGTACTTTACCCCATGTGCTCTTTAAAGACAATAAAAGTGGCAGTACTAGGAATAGAGATAATACTGTTTATTTTACTTCCAAAGGAGGAGGAAAGTACTGTTGTTAGGTCTTCTTTAGGATTCTTGCTTTCCTGTACATCCTGCAGCTTTGCTGGTTTTTTTTTCCTCTTGTCAGTTGGCTTCTGTTTCTCAAGACCTCAGAGACTGACCAGTCAAGTGGTGACAGTGCCCCATGTACCACTGGATTTGATGTTTCAGGAGCTGACAGTGGTCACTTCATTATTCGACATCTGCTCACTGTACTTATTCCTATTTTGTGCTGGGAACCAATGGCCCTTCTGCAGCTGAAGAACATAACCAGTCTTCTCCATTTATAAGCGACAAAAGCCCCATGTGCTCATGGCAGGATGTGCAAGAAACAACTATGTTGGTTTGCCCAGCAATGAGTACTTCAGCCTCCCCCAAAACCAGCTGCAGCATGATCATATAGGAATAGCATGTTATCTCCCTGCAAAGTAGCCTCCCTGGAGTAGCCAAATTGCCTAGTTTTGACAAGCACATGCTCAAGTCAGGAGTGGTGCTTCGAGAGCACCTACAGGACATGTGGACATCATCAGCCAGCATTAGCTTGTATCATGCCTACTTTCAGAAAGGAAGAATTTAATCTGCATTAGCCTGTTGCAGATATCTATAGTTCAGTGGTTTACTCAGTTTTTGTTTACTTCTCATTTTGTATTTTTGTGCATAAAGAAACATTCATCCACCTTGTATCAAGTGCAAATAGGTGAAGATTGTTCAAAAGTTACTATAACTTAGGAACATTTTTGCAAGTGGTTAAAGGCTGTTAGCTTTGTGGAATGCAGTGTGTTCACACTTTTCCCTACTGGCCATCTTGAGACTTCCTTCTATTTAGATTTCACTTGGTGAAAATTCATCTATTATTAGCTGTGTCCTGAAACAATCCTCTCAGTGCATGTATCAGGAATTCTAGCCCATGTTGTCACGTTCCAGTAACAAACAAAAAACAGTGCAAGGTCCGATTGTCTTATTCCCCTCCTCTCTGCCCTGCCATTCATAAAATGTAGCAAGCACTTCAGAAGGAAGAGAAGGTAAAAGAAGAAAGAACTCTGTTGTATTAGATGAAACTTTGCTGTTACACATCTTTGTATCTAAGAGAGAAAAAAAACCGCATGCTTTGGGTTAAAGTCTTCTCATTTATTCTTTTAACAAGATATATAAAGCCACTCATGATGAATTTCTAGCAAGTACCAAGCTGAATGCAGTTTGAGTAATAATCCTTATTAACCTGGTTTTCATTCTTTCTACATAAGAGAAAATGCATGCTCTAGCATGCATCTAAATTATTAACATATACTCATGTATTACTAATATATCTCATTGCATTGAATCCAGAAGCTAAAAGGATAGTATACATTTGAGGACTATAATAGGTATGATTTAAGCTCAGCCAATAAACAGAATTCTAGTGAGAGAACTCCACACCAAGGTACCAGGGCCCACTTAAGTACCTACAGCTAATTTAGATGTTGTTTTCTCCTGGTTACATGAAATGTGGCCAGTTACTTATGGCAAGATATTTAACAGTATGTACTAGGATTTTCATGTAAAAATGACAGTCTTGCTGTCCAAGCATGACATTCTCTCCTAGAGCGAGTTGTATTAAAACACAATCCAACCCTCCTGCATCTAACCAACCACCAGCATCAAAAAAAAAAAAATGAGGCTGCCAAGTAACAGTTTATAAATCTGATCCAAAACCTTCCTCAAGGCTAGAAATTTGGAGCCTGAGTACAAATTTTGAATTTCCTAAACTTTAAGGGCTTTCTAAATACTAAGACTTTAAAGCAAATTCTTCATGTTTGTTGGGGGTGGGGGGATTAATAGCAATACGTGCATGGCTTTCTAAAGTAAATAATCTGACTTTCAGTTATCTATGAACATAGTCTTAGATATATTTTTAAATATGCATCTCTGAACTGTATATATGCACATACATGAATATACATTGCACACACAAATGTGTGAGGTGTTGCAGCTGGCCACATGTGGAGCCAATTGAGAAATCTAAACAAGTACAGCCTGCTGACAGGCACCTACCAATCTATTTTTACTGGTTTATTGAAAATCAGGTTCTCAAAGTGTGTGTTACTCAAGCTGTTTGCTCAGAGTCACTGAAGTCTTCGCTGAGGATTTAGAAGTCATGAATTTGTAATGATGATTTTTCACTTTAGCAACCTCCTTACTGATTCCACCTATGAATAAGAGGAATTGGTACTCAGCTGTAGTATGTAAGATCCCATCAGTTCTATATGTTCCGGGTTCTTTTCACATCACAGGGTGCTGTTTAGGCAAATATTTAAGTGTATGCTGAAGTCTAAGCATATGCTAACATCCTGATTATTCACTGAATCCAATATTAATTTTTCTATCAAACACATGCTGAAGCATGTGGTCGGATCAAGGTTACTCTAAGGTATATAAATCTATTTCTATTAAATACTTCAGTGTTCAATCTACCAGCAACAGTGCTGAAGCTCTTTTACAGGCTCTTAATAGAACAGTCATATCAACAACCTGATAAAATTATGTTCCTTTACCAACGTGCCTTAGGTAGAGAGATATTTAACATTTGCTAGCAACAAAAAACCTGAAACAACGATACCAAAGAAGTAAGTATCCATTTCCTATCGTATTTTGTCAACACACCTAGTGAAACCACTTTCAAACCCAACCTGTTTACTAAATGGTTAATAACATATGAGAGAGAAATTATAAGCTTGTAGACACAGACTGGTCCTGGTTTAAAAAAAAAAAAAAAAAGAAGATTTGTGTCTCATTTGCTTTCCAAACATTCATGACGCCTGCCTGACTAACCCTCAGTCACAGCTGTGTAAACAACAGACTTTTAAGCTGATGAACAGATAATGGGAGGAGAAACCAACACATCATATGTAAAAGGGGAATAAACAATGACATGATGAGACTGTCTCCCCTTCCTCCTGCGGCAGCTTCTGGTGTTCTTTGCTCTGGTAAACAGCATGAAAACTGCCATGCTTTTTCTCCTGTTGATGATTTGGCTTTGATTCAGTTAGACAGATGGCAAATGGCCAAGGAAAATGTATAATTTGGTGGCTAAAGTACTGCTCTCTCACCTTGGAATAACAGATTTAGTTCAGTTGCATTTCTGTGATACCATAGTCTTAACAGTTCTTATTGGATAGCAGTAGATACCACAAAACCACCACGCTTTATGAAATTCAGCACACTATGGAAAACTGTAATTATCTGATAAGGGGAGAGCACAGGCTAAACTAACAAAGACGAGATAAGCAGTCAGCTGGGTGTTCCCTTTAATGTACAACTTAGTTATACTGGCTAAACAGCAAAGGAAAGTTTGCCTTGTAGGTGGCAACATTGTACTGAGTTTGAATAGAGGTATCTGCCAGCCCCTCAATCTCCCCAAACAGGAACAGTTACTTTTCTGAAGAAAACAGAAAAAAATCCAATTGTCTGTTTAGAATTAGAAGCCTAAAGAACTATTACTCACATCCATACTATTAAAGTGCAACAACAGGCAATCCATAGTGGCATTTTTAAACCTGCTTTTCTCAAAACAGGTCTAATATTTGCATGCTTATTTGCATGCTCAGTAAAGTTGTCTTGCCTCATCTGCTTGGGAGAAGGGGGGTGGGACAATCATTATCTTCAAGCTCCCACCTCACAACCATTAGTTTTTTAAGTGGATGGGATTAGAAGAAAATCCATCCTGTAACTGGCATAAAGAGGTTGAGCTTGATCTCCAGGAGACAGACGCAGAAAGATGAGGTGGTCAAGTGAACTTGGCTCTACCAGCTATACTGATACATTATATGGGCCAGCCTTAAGCTTTTTATTGAAAAGAACTGCAAGGCAAAGAGAGGTACTTTATACACCACAACTCTCTGGCTTTTACTAATCTTGTAACATTTTGAAATGCACTGTAACTCAGGCATAAAGTTTAGATTCCTGCCTGGATACAAGTATTACCTGAGAAATTTCTTATGCTTGGTATATTATGTGAAAGCCTGAGTAGCAACAAATGAAATTCCAAACAGTGGAAAATCAGCCAACATGCAGTAAATTTTAGTAGGTTTTTGTGAATTAAACATCTTTTAAGTGCTAAGCAAAATTAATTTCCCAAGATAAAAAGGAAATAAAGGAGTAACCTCAGGATTTATCTACCTTAAGTTCCTGAAGGAAGTTTTGGGTTTGTTTAGCAAATGTGAGCATTTGTGATTTTAGAACTTAGTTACTTTATAGATGGCCTATGAAAAGTTTTTCATATTGATCAAGTGTGAATAACAATTTTATGTGATAATTCCCACTTCTGAGCTTGATGAGAATTTTTGTGGAAGTGCAAGGTTAGATAGACAGAGTTCTTGGTGTATTTTAGGAGTGGATTGCTATAGAAAGGTCTTTGACTATTAATGGAGGGTTTTATTGGATCTATGGGAGAGACTATTTTGCCTCCAGTCCTTAGAAATACTGTGGAAGGACCCACTCAACTACTAAAGGCAGAAAATCTGACTTCTTAGCTGGATGCCTATTTTAAAGTAAAGCACAGAGTCAGTTAACTTGACATCTGCATTATATTCCTCTGCTTGCTGTGGATTCAGTCACTTACTTTTGCAAAAACTACAAAGGGCCTTGTATTCAAGTGTGGAAAAAGTGGGTTTTTTTTTCCCCAGAGAAATTAAAAGGGGCTGGAAATGTTCATTCTTTTGAAAATTGGGCCTTTTCAGTTTGTGCCTTAGTTCCGTTACCTGTAAAGTGAGGTTGTAATGTTTGCTAACCTTTCTGAAGAGCTTCCAAACTCATATGTGAAAAGCACTATGACAGTAGTTGGGTACTGTAGTTAGGTAGCTGTGCATGAAAGCAGGTACTTCATGCACTGCATAAGAAGTACAAATGTGAAGAGTCCCTCTCTGGCCAAGCTGGACAGCAGGTCTGAAAAAGTCAAAGGAACAACATCAACTTCCACCATTCTTCCTAAGAACAAAAGTTAAACCAAAATTTGTACTTAACCATTTTCTTCCCTGCTTGACAATGCTGCTCTTCACTGTGGTGAAAGTGATGTATTGGGGCTCTTCTGACCCTCCTGTAAAATTGATTCATTTCACACGTCATGTCACTATTTTACATGGTTTTTGGGGTTTTTTCTCACCTTTAGAATTACCAGCAGAGCCTGATGAACATGAAGATGGAAAGAAGGAGTGCTATTACAATCTGAACGATGCAAATTTCTGTGACAATGTGCTTACATCCAATGTAACCAAACAAGAATGCTGCTGTACCTTGGGTGCTGGCTGGGGTGATAACTGTGAAATCTTCCCATGCCCTGTCTTTGGAACTGGTAAGAGGAGGCCTTCTATCCCTTCACAGTCTTTTGAACCATTGTGTTTATGTTAACAGCAGAGTGCTTTGCCTTCAGAGAAGGCTTGCCCATAAAATCACACGTTCTGTAGTATTTAGTCATAACTTACCCATTGGAGATTTCCACAGTGGAAAAGTTAGCAAGTTAATAGGAATAAGTCACAGAATCATAGAATGGCTAGGGTTGGAAAGGACATTAAGATCATCTAGTTCCAACCCCCCTGCCATGGACAGGGATGTGCCACACCTAGGCCACATCGCCCAAGGCTCTGTCCAACCTGGCCTTAAACACTGCCAGGGATGGCACATTAACATACCTGGTGTAAATCCATTGCCTTCACTACAGTTACCCCAAGGATAAAACCAGCCTGTTACTGAACAGCATTATCTCAACTGATTTTAAACGAAGTTGGATTCTCGCAGAAGCTTTTTTTTAGACACTGTGGTAACATGTTAGATTTTTTTCCCACAAGCTGGGAAAGAAAGTTAAGCCTTACAATGGTTTTGAGTCTGCAGCTATTCCTTGTAATGTTGTTTTTACAGCACTACGAATTACTGATATATGACATTAGTTTTACATTTGCTACTTACTGAATAATTCAGTTAATCATGTTGTCTGCAGACTGTTGTTTAACCTCTAAATATTAAACTAGAAAAACATAACCATATGACATTTGTCACAAATATTGAAAACAGTGCTTGAAACATAAATAGCGATGGCTGAAATTCAAAATCCAGCTGGAAAAAATCACATAAGACAGAACATGTGTAAACTTTTTGAGATTAAACACTAAAGATTATTTTTCACACAAATCACAGAATAGTTAGGGTTGGAAAGGACCTTAAGATCATCTAGTTCCAACCCCCCTGCCATGAGCAGGGACAAATGTATCATCAAGTTTAATTCCTGTTTTAACTATACTTTATAATCAGTGAAACTGAAATAAAATGCGTTACAAAAAGAGCCACTGTGCCTGGATAGGCTTATTTGGTTTTGTAGTCTCCAAGACACTTTTCCTTTGTAATCCACACCATGTTCTCCTGTTGCAGTCAATTAGTGTTTTTCCTGTATAAGGACTGAAGAATGTGGACAGAGGCTTGTATCTCAGTTGGGGTATGTCTAGATTGCAGCTTGCAGTATAGGTCAGAGAGGCTCATGCTAGCTTTAATTAAGATAATTTGGCTACTGGTATTGTTATAACTGCAGTGCACCATGAAACTCAGTAAGGAGTACATTCTCCTGCCAAGGAGCAAGAGAAACTAGTTTGCATGGAGCTCTGTGATGCTGTGGGTACCCTAGCTAGGTTTTTCAAACCTAGCTCTGCAAACTGAGAGCAGGAGAAAGCCAGGCCATAGTGTCAGCATCCCCTACTTAGCTAAAAGTGTGCATGATTTCCTGGTAGATGTGAATAAGGCAAAACATCGCCTCAGATTTCTCAAAATACTCTGAAACACATATGCAACACATACATATGTAACTTTTTCTTAACAACATAATTTTTCATTTTCTCTCTCTCCTAGCTGAATTTAGTGATTTGTGTCCTGAAGGAAAAGGTTTCATTCCCACTGGAGAATCATCTTACGGGCTTCTTGCTCAGAATTACAAAGGTCAGTACTGACTTGTATTACATTTAATTATTTCAGAAGTTCTGGTAGTTGACTAGAAATGTGAGCCAGCAATGTAAACTTACTAATTCAAATTTTATTAGGTGATAAAAACAGCTCGTGATATGAAGCATTACTGAAAATCATCATCTGACAGATTGTTAAGAATGTCAATTATAGTCTTTGTAATATTCTGGTTTAATTTGTACTAAGTGCTATATACTCTGAGAGTAGGTGCTGACACCACAAACCTCAAATACTCATTTACATATGAAATACAAAACCACTTTAAATTTGTAAATAAATGTATGTGGAGTTGGGGGAAAGAAGGGAATTCTGTTAAACATTAGACATACAAGTTAGAATGGATATAAAAACTGAAGAGAAGTTCAACCATTATATTTTCATTACAAACCTTCATGAAATAGTTGAACAAAAGACTGTAGAGAAATATGAGTGATAGGAGTTGGTGGGTGGAGGCGGGAGGGAGTTGGCATCACTAAGTAGGAAGAATGAGATTAGTGAAATTCCTTTTCAAGTTTGAGAAGTAGCTACCAATATTCGTAATTCGTGAGATTAATTTTCCTTGGCATAAATACACTGTATTTGTGTTAGCTAAAATAAAGTCAACATTTTATCTTTGGATTACTTGGCAGCTACAGGATCTTTAGAAAAGCATGTGTGTTAATGTATCTGTTCCTGTTGGAATTGCTGTTTTACAAGTCAAGGACTAAATGTACAAAGTACACTGTGTTCATATCACATAAAAAGACCTTAACAGAGCCATAGTATCAGATGGTTGATAGATAAGCATTTCTCAGAGTTGCTTTTAGCTGAATCACTTAATCTGTCAGACCTAATTCTGAGAGATGGCAAAAACTGGTGGGACTTGAAAGGTTTGGGGTTTTTTTCCTAACAATTGTTATGTGTCTTTTTTGAACTACTTTTCCTCACTGAGCAGAACACTACAAGGTCAGTTTTCCCTGTAAGTTTGTGAATAGACCATGTTTCAGTTCAGTTCTCTGCCCTAGTAACATTTTTTTGTGTTATCGTCAGCAGGTGTTTTTTGCGCCTGTAAAGTGCATGGGACATGGAAAAGATACTAAAGGTTGTAAGGCACCAATAGCCAGATTCATTCAAACTCATGCGAGCATTTAAATGGGGTAACTCATGTAAGACGTCCATTCTCTGGAGGTGTTGCTTTGTCCACCAACCTGCAGTAAAGAACAAAGTAGCATGGGGCGAATCCAGACCCAAGACTGATGGTAGCAGGGAGCAGTGTTGGACAGACTGACAAGTTACAGCTTGACAAGTCAGAACATTGGCACAAAACTCATCTTGAAGGACCTAACACTCTCTGAGAGGATTTTTGTTCAGGCATTCCTTAAGTGTGCTGTTTATCTTTGCAGATCTAAGACTTCTGTATATCTTTGCAATGTAGATTTAGGACGTGCAGTGTGTAAAGTACGTTCAAGTGTGTCTCAGATAAAATCTGCTTTGTTTTTGTTGTGCTACCTCAGGGTTGATAACATCTCTGGCTGCCATAAATATTTGTTGTAAATAAGCCCAGCTGGTAACTTGGAACCACGCAGCCGCTTGATCACTCTCCCTCTTCTTCCTCCCCCCCAGCTAAAACCTTTAGGTGCCCATTGTGGGGCACGAAGGGTTGAGATAACAACAGATCTGACCAGAGTGTGTCTAATCATATTTGTGATAAGCAGTCATTGTTACTACTCATGACAATGCTGATTTATTGGCTCTCAGAGTCGTTGTGCTTGATCTCAGAGTTTCAGCATGTCGTACCTTACTTACAGCCAGTATTTGCTGGATTAGTGTTTATCGGCTGAGGGGCCTGGGCTAAGGTTATTG